GTCAAGGCCTACTTTACGAAAATTCAATGCTATTACAAAATAAAAAGAAAATAATAATAATGATATAAAAACAAAAACAAATCACATACAGAGACAGACATATCCATTCGAAACCTAACCATTTACTGTTTGGCATTTTGGCTTTGATGTTTTGGCCAGAACCTTGTTTCAATCATTTCGTACAATTTGTTAGTCAATTCGTCTTAGTCAAGTAAGTCAAATAAATGCATGCAAAATAAATGTAAACAAAATTCTATATATATATACAAAAATAAGAAATAATATTAAACGTTAATCTCGATTAATTTTATGATTTTTTTTAGAAGAATTTATTAGCTAAGGCATAAATTGTAAATTCAAATAAAACCAAACGACAAACGAATTTATGATTTTCTCTTTTATTTATTTTCTACACATATTGGCACAAAATTTGCATTATTATTATTATTTTTGATATAGAGCAGCACACTCACACATACTATATTTGCTAGCTAAGTTTAAGCCAAGTATATATATAGAGTTAATTATATTTAATAGTTAATGAAGAACATTATGAAAACGCAGCCAAATATCTTCCTTGCAATGTTGAGATTCCGTTGAAAACGTTACACACAATTAATTAATCAAAAATCTTGTTTATTTTTAAGCTACAACTATATACGTCAAGTGCTTGAAAATATTTGAAAAATATTTAAAAATTTCAATTGAAAACTAAGAAAACCAAAAAGTTTATCAACTCCACGAGTAAAAATATGTTTAAAAGATTTGCCTAAGAATTTGTTGATTAGTGCGTAGCCAAGGTATTGTTTGCATATATATATCTTATTATATATGTTTAATATATATATCTACTTATATCTATAACGATTCTATGCTAAATATTTATGTATGTGTATCCAAAATTCGTAAATGAGTTGCTATCTGCTACCATCTAAATGTTTTTCCTTTCAGAATAACTCCAAATTGTAACCATTTACTTATAACCGATATTCATAGCTATACCAATACATAACTGTTCAAATTATACGATCAATGTCTAAATTGTGCGCATTTCAATGTGGAACTWTTTCGCTATCTTGAAAAGTTCTACCTATATTAATATACTCATATTATATATATGTATTAGTATTACTAAGTATACATAATACTAAAGCAATATTTGCATACAATTTAAATTAAATAAATTATTACAAATACAACTATAATACAAATACAATGCGTGTCTATGCAACTTACTTTTTCTATGATTCAAATAGGTAAATAATTTATCCTGTTAAAGTATTTGAACATACACCAAGGCGGCCAAAATTCAAATTTTACTTAACGGCAGTTGCTTCGTATATTTGGTATTTTTTAGTTGACAGTTGCACTGCTTGCAACATCTAGTATTATACATTTTCTAAGTATTTTATGACTGACAAGTTAAAATTCAATCTGATTTCAACACGATGACGACTATGTTCGACTCATAGTGCGTCTTTTTGTGTTTCCGTTTTGTTTGTTTTTTTTTTTTTGGTTTTTAAAATTAAAAGTTAATTTTGTTGTTTAACATTTGGACAGAAATTAGCCTGCCCGTCAGCATGCAGTTCCAGTGTATTTTCCAACACGAAAGAAGCACGGCAACAGCTGTTCAACAGTGCTGATATCGATACTTCGATAATTTATATGCTTCTAACATTTAAGGAAAACACTGTGTCCGAAAGCGTTAACATTCATGTTTCGTGTGCTGCTCGAACTCAAAACAGAAAAAATTCCAAGCACAACGTCTGGTGGGTGTTTTCGTGTGAGTTGCAGAAACGTTCTGCCAGCGGTTACGTTCGATTTACTGTTAATTATAATAATTAAAAATTAATCGCGACGATTGCATAGTGTAAAGCAAATACATAGTTGCACACTCAAATATTGCGCACAAATGGAATAACAAGAAGACACAATAAGACAAATAGTTACAAGCTAACAAAGAGTAATTTTTGTTGATAAGAACGACCTGACAGCAAGGAAAGAGAAGTGCAATTCCTCAACTGGTAAGTGTCACAACGCGAGCCCTAAAAATATATGCGACTGCGAGTGTATAGTGTGTGTGTATGTACATACACATTTGTTAGATGTGCCCATGCGTGTGTGTGTGAGAGTGCCGTTATCTATCCCTTTGTTGGCGCTGTGCTCTTTTGGCCCGCAACTGTAACAATTGTCAGCATCAATTTGCCAATTATGAGCTTTTAACCTCAGCCAGCCACATCTTTCGTCGAGTTTTTTTTTTTTTTTTTTTTTTTTATTTTTATTCAATAAATTCAATGGAAACATTGCGCTACCAGCGCCATTGTTGTCAATGTGAGGCAGCCTTCTCTTGAGTGTATGTATGAATATGTGTGTGTGTTTGTGTATATATGTATGCAGGTTTGTGTGGCTGTTGGTGTCTGTTTTTCTATTGCATTGCACTTTTAGCTTCTGACATCGCTTTCTGATGCTGCATATTATTGAAAGGGTGCGAGCAGGAGGGCGAATACAAAATGCTCGTCCATTCAATGTCAGCTTTTCATTGAACTTGATACTGAAAATTTGAGTGGTTTTCGTGGGCTGCGAAGGCTACAGACGAGGGCCAAGGCGCCAAGCTGTTGGACAGTTCTCTTAAATATTCTATAAGTCAACTAAGAAACAGGGCAAATATTCAACTATTTTTCAACACTGGAACAAATATGACATTGAACAACTGACTCAACTCAAGCTTCAGTTGCTCGTTCGTTTTGCTAATGTGAAAGCTTTCATTTGAAAATTAAAAGAAGCAAGAAGATTACACATTTGATGATACATAGTAAGAGATTGCACTCTGAATGATTGCGCACCTTATGTCTTAATTGCTCAAGCTGTGTTTGCACGACAAGCAACGCATGCAAGGTCCAGCCTTCTGTAAGTAGCCTAGTTTCGTTCGTCTTATCAACGCATACATGCATATATGCATATGTATGTGTACATACTGATGTATCTATGTGCGTACATACAGCTGCGGTCATAAGAATAGTAATTGTAATATTTTTAATTAATTGATATTGTAAATTTTTTTTTTGTCATCCAACATTTAGAACTCAGTCACGCTACTATGTTTATAACCACAGCTGTAAATAAATAACATTTGAATAATATTTTGTACCAGGCGGTAAAAGAGAATTCCAGGAACAAAACAATAAATGTCCCCATAAGTATATAACCTAAATAACAAAATTTCTCCTGTTGTATCGAAATAAATAATCATTGCAGCAAATGCAATTTATTGCCTTAAGGTTTCCTTCCCGTTAAAGGTTCGAAAAAGAAAGGAGTTAGTCAGCAAAAACTTGTTCTTCGCTTAAATGAATGTAAGAGAAATGAATTACCAAGGCTAAAGTGAGATTCATATATACGCATTCAAGAGTTTATAAAAACTCTTCGAACACCATAAATATATCAGTATATTGTGGTATAACAACTAATCTTCTAGAATATATAATGTTGCCTCTTAAATATTCAATTCAAAAGTTTCTGTTTTTCAAACGAAGCTCTTAAATCAAGCCACACTGAATCAGTAAAACTTCGCAGTATTCTCAGCTCTGTTGTTGTCTTTTAAGTTCTTTTGTATTGTACTTGTTGTTGTGGTTGTTGTTGTTGCTGGTGGTGCTCTCAAGCCTGCAAATGACTTTCAAGAGGGAACAAAAATAAATAATATAAACCGACTGAATATGCGCCAATTCTATTTACTGCTGACATCTCGACGCCCACACGCAACGCAAAGAAGGCAAAGTTCGTCCCAAATTGTGTGTTATTCATGAATGGAACCGAACGCGTTTCGAGTGGGGAATGCGGAAATGTCTGAGTGAGTATGAATGAAACGGCTACAGCTGACAGCGGTTCGCCCATCCTGCTCTAACACATAGCCTGCGGCTTTTGCTGACTAACTGTTTATACTGCTTGATACGCAATGAAATGGGTTGGAGAAAGAAGAAAGGGTTTGATATTAGTTAGTAGATGTAACCAGACAGAGGACATATGTTATATGAGCCCATGGGGTGACATTTAATGTCGTATCTAAATTGGTATAATGAAGAAAAGCAAATATATACATGTATATATGTGTGTATGTAGATATAGAGAATTAGATATACAGATGTAGAGATATATATGTACAGATATAGACAGTTAAATGTATATACATACATATATAGTGATTACGACTATAGTCTATATACGCATATCTTCTGGATTATAGAAAGTACTCTCAGAGCAACGTTCAATAACTTTACTACTAATACTTTCCTCTAAATAGTTTAATGAATTTTAAATTATTTTATTTATACAAAATATATGTATATATAAGTAATCATCTGTATAGAGTTAAGAGAGTACTTCAGACATACATACTAATTTCCGCACTCAGGACAAAAATATTTAAAACAGTTCTTTCTTATCGTTCGTTAGTTACATCTGTTTGTGTCTGTATTTTTACAGGATATCTCTGTTGAGTACTTCCAACTAACTATTGTTTATCCGGGCAGCACATCATGCATAATCCAATCCCTAAAATGAGGGTTGACATTACGCGTTCTGCATTTAAATCGTGGTTGATCAGTTCCCGTTGAGCTTTTTGGCCTTTGGAGCTTTTTGGCCTAAGCATTTTATAATACTGCAACGTAGTCGAATTGACTTTCATAGGCAGCGCCTAAATGAATATCTCGATTCGCACAGTCGTAAATTGATTATGCATGCACATGATTGCGAGCCGGCCCAGACGGCCCCGCCCACGCTAACGCATTTACCTGTCTGTGTGTGCCAGGACTATAAATAGCAAAGGCTGCGCCGATTAGGCGAGGTTCATTGCTTTGTGCAGTGAATTTATGAATATTACATGAGCATAATATCTACGACCCAGTCGAGGTGATAAACAATTTCCATCAACATGAGCCATGTGTCAGTCTTGCGTCTTCAGGTACCTGCAGCTCTGGGTATTGTTGCTCAAGTTGCTGTTGTAGCTGCCCTTTTCACCTTGCTGTCCCCAAGGACATGACGTCATTGTGTATAGCAACAGGAACATTGATAAAGGTTGTAATGAATCACAAGGTGCAGAGATCGCAAAAAAATATTTTTTTATTTCGAATTAAATTAAATATATTTGGTACACCTTTTTCAACTTTGAAGTTAACCCAGATAATATTACATTAATAAGTGAAAACTCTATAGCGAGGTTTAATAAGTGCCCCGTTCCATTCCAATGTTGAGAGCGCGTTCCCTGGCAATTCACAGCCTAGACCGTTAACAGCTCATCTCGGCCTTAATGGCCCTTCAGACAACACCCGATCCAATTGGACCGACAGGCCACTCCACCAATCCACCAACCGACAGGGGCCATAATCGAACCGCTAACCGAGCCAGCAAATGCGAGCCCAGCCGCCCATTGCCGTCATCACATGACACACGCGTCAGCATGTCGCCCAGGTCCAAGCTTCCTGCATGTTGTTGTTGTTGTTGCTGTCGCTCTTGTTGAAAGCAATTTCATAAATGGCTTCCGTTTGCACAGGACACGCGCAACGCTGTTATCGAGAGACCCATCCATAGCTTGCATCCTTTTCTCGCACCCAAAAAAAAAAAAAAAAAACCTGAAACAAAGCATGGTAAAAAACATAAAAAGGCATATTGTGTTGCCTGCTTTTGGGCGCTGCGGCTGCCTCTACGTGCCGAAACGGATTTCAAATAATAAACATAAATGAAATGCCAGCGCAGAAGCCGGCTCCAGCCATGGAGTGATAAATAGAAGCACATCAAGGTCAATGTTAAGCGCAGAGTGAGCTTTTGCCATTTAAAAAATATCCAATTTAGTATGTAGAATAAGCTTCTTAGCCGAAAAATGTACTGTCAATGAGATAGCATAATCGAAGCTATTCCAGAGAGGCTTTCGTGCATTACGATCGAGTCAACGACCTTGGCGAGCAGTCAGCTTTTCACCAAATGCTAACCAGGAAGCGCAAGTGCTTTGATTAATATGAGTGCGTTTGCACACTTTAAACCGCGCTTAATTCAATTAGCTCGTATTAACCGAGCCAGAATTTATAAATAAAGGCATACGGCAACAGCAGGCCGAACGGGAACGGGCTACCAATGAGCAAGTAGAACAATGCACACTCGCACACACACACACACACACAGGCGTGCTCAATGTGTAAGAGTGACTGATTGAGGGGGGTAGAAAGAGACAGCACAACGGCTCGTGGCAGCAGCAGAACTGATTGCCATGACAGGCGCAAAGTGCAACGCAAAAAGAAAAAAAATTTCACTGTCAAAGGCAAACAAAGAAACTGTGGAGCAAGCAAACAAATGCCTAGCTCGTGCTCACTCTTACTCTCACTCGCATTGTCCCAGTCTCTTGCAATTCTACTCCGTTGCGCTTTTAATAACTCTGCTTCAGTATTGGTAGCAGACTGGCCGGCACCAGAGTTGATAAATAGTGCGTATACGATTGATTTGCATATCACTTAAATTGCAATTAAAAGTCGCTATAAACTGCAGCTAAAAATCAATATTATGCAAAATACTTGCGAATGCATAAGGAAGTTACAGCAGATATTTGGTTTATAGTTTAACGTTTTTTTTCTGTTGTGTTTTCCATTTCGTGTTTGCTTGCCAGCAGCTTTCATTATGACGTTGTTTCGTGTGCTTGCGCTTGTGATTTGCATGCGACAACAATAATAAGAACAACAACAGCAGCGCATTTGCATGTCTGTGCAACAACAATAAACGCTGCCAGGCAAGTTGTTTATACCAGCCAAAAGGTGCATGTATAAACACATCATGCATAAAACAAAATAAAAGTATTTAAATTGTTTTTGTTGATTTGATCGCTTTCCCACGCTTCAGGCAAGCAATTGCCAATTTAATAGTGTTGGTAGACGGCTCGATTTGATCTACTGGCTTTTTTGAAAATATATGACGTACCGATATAATAATCGATAGCTATCGCTTGATGGTGAACAAGGAGTGCATAAAACAAATTTAGATGCATTTTAAAAGAGCTGATTTATTTAATTGATATTTTAAAGACAAAAATTAATTTTTTTTTAAATTATCGTTTTAGTAAGCAATGGTAAGCACCTACAACTACCATCATTGTTCAGAACACCCTGTATCCGAGCTCATGGCCGTTGCCAATTGAGCAGTAAAATTAAAAGCCAATTTAACTATAGCATTGCTTTTAGCGCCGTCATTTTGTTATTAGCCTGGAATAGATTTTATGAGGGCCATTTGCCCACCCTCAGCTCTGTATAGATTCAATCTAAAATTATCATGAATATGCGAAGAGTATTATTAGTTATATACATACATATGTATGCTTCTCGTCTCGGGATAGGTCAGTGCGTGTAGAGCTGGTAGGCCTTATCGATTTTCGCCCAGACAGATTAGGTTAGATACGCATCCAAAACACAGCTCAAATTTCGAATCGGCGAGTCAATTTGTCGCCCATTATTTCAGAGCTGTCAAATAGCATCGATATAGTTCAATTTCCATTTACTTAACAGAATTGTTTATTTAATTTGTATTCAATGGCATGTCGCGCGCCGTTGCCCTCGCAGCTGGATGCCTGGAGACAATACCAAAATGTCTGGCCAGTCTTAGTCAGCATTTCTCCATCTCCATACTCTAGCCCCCCAGCCCCCATCCGCTTTCATGCTTGTGGCGAACTTGTTTCCTTGTCGCCTAGTCTGGTCTTGGCCTGGCGCCTCGATGCCTCTTAGCAGCTCTCTCTTTTGCCCACCAGCTGAAAGCAAAAGTGTAAAACTTGCAACAGTCTATAAATAGTTGCTGAACAGGAAAATTTCAATCAGCAGTGAATCGATATAGACCTCAACTGAAGTCCGCTCTCTCTCCGTCTCCCTCTGTCGCCCATTGGCGCTCTTAATGAGTTTTATGTGCTATTAATAATCGACTTTCAGTTTACACGTGTCCGTCGTCTTGCTAATGGCATCTGTTGACCATAGCGAGAGCTTTGCCCTGTCCAGCGATGCATCAATCAATCATAATTTGTTTTACAGACAACCTATGGCAGCTACTGATTCAATTTGCTACAACTTGTTGGCAATTCCAAGGAATTAGAAGATGAATTCTAACTTTGTCGAAGAAATTCCATGAATATCAATGTATTATCCGTGCCTTCTAACTGTTATCGAAGAACGTTGCAAACAGTTTGAAATTCATTTTCTCCATATATTGAATTATCCTTGTTAATTTCCTCACAGCTCTCGTTACTTTAATTATGGTGAATTATGTGTTTGCTGCCCCTGAGTGATTCACTATCTTAGTTAACCTCATAGTTGTCCATTTTATAATAGCAATAATAATCATAAATACACAACATAATACCAAATCCGCCCTTGGCCATTTGGCGCTGGCTCCTGGCTCCGCCTTGGCTTGGCTTCGTTGCAATCTGAACCCTAGTTTCCACCTGCTGCTCGTTTCCTTAGCAACGGCTAATTATGCGCAAGTGGAACAATTTAGGCTCATGGTCAACACCTTAGCTGGCAAACATCTACCGCCCACACATCCACACAGCATCCACTGTGCCATGCGCATGGCCCCAAAAAGTTTTAGCCATAAAAGTTAAAAGCCCCTCATCCCCCCGGGGTCCTACAACGTGCCCCACAAGCACCCGACTGCCTGGGTGCTGCGTCGCAATAAGTTTCTCATATCCATTGAAATTGTGAGCAACAAAAAAGAGTTTGATGTTTTGGGCGTACGCAAAAGAATTTTCTTCCAAAGGAATAATCTACAGATATGCTTGAGGAGATCCCTGAGTTGGGTTGATCTAGTCAAATGTGAATGCGCGTTTGTTGGAAAACAAGAAAATTTAATATAAGATTTATGTGTGTTTGTAAAAAATAAATATATAGATTATGATGTTCTTTTTAATCTTCCCATCACATGTCAGAAAATACCTCGTAAATAATATAAAAATCAGCAAACATGAGACTCTGACATCAAGCTTCAAGCCTGGAACTATTTCAACTGCGTGTAATTGATACCTTAAGGTTAAATTTACCATACATAACAAATCCGGTTTTGACCTAGATGCTAATTCGCCATTTATTTCATTAATAATTTTAATTAAAACATTTAATACAGTCATTAAAATTCTCCAAAAAATGCAGAAAACTGGAATCGTAAAATACTTTAGTTCCACAATTCGAGTTAAAAACGATTCACAGTTATTAACTTTTCTGCTATCAAAAATATATATTAAAAAGTTTAAATATTTTCAAGATCTATAAAGTATACTCCATATATTATTAAATAAAGTATACAAAAAAATTATACATTTAAAAGACAAACTTCACATTTATTATAGAATATACTTCATACTCATATATTATTTAATAAATTGCAATTTTAAGATGTCCTCTTATAGGGTATCCGTCTCATATAAAATATAATGGAAAATTAACATGTGGCTTCAGCTCTGCACATTGAGGGTACACTCCTCATAAAATATTAAAATATTATAAAATTGATAATAAAATTCTTGGGTATACTTCAGTCGTTGCTTCTACTTTTTCCATAGTCCTTTTGTTTTTTATTGTGCTGCTATTGCTGTTGCTTCGCTCTTAGTTGGCTGCGAACGTTGCATATATACTCGTATGAATATATGTATATACATATATATTTTGTTTTTTATTGCTGCTGTTTTTATAAGCGTGGCAAATGTTGTCAAGGATGTTGCTGGCGTTGGGTTTTGTATGTGTGGAGCAGGCAGTGTGAAGTGTCCCTTTGTTACCCTATGCCAGAGAGCTGGAGCAACGAGGTAATCTTCAGAAATCCTTAAATAAAGCAAAACCTAACTACAACAAAATAGATTCCAGTGCCGAACCTCCCCCATGATGTTTTCTTTTTTTTTTTTTTTTATTATTATCTTTGCCAAGGTTACACGAAATGGGCGTAGGTCAGGGACGTTTTTAATTTCAATATGCTGTGAATTTTTTAATATACATAGTTAAATTTTACTGGCAAAATTTGCAACTTTAGGTAGAAAGTTTTCCACTTACCAACATGGGCAGATTTTTAAATTGTATAGAAACTTTTCCAACACTGAAATTAATTTACTTCTCTGTTCTAATTGCAGCACAACTGTCTTTGCACAACCAATTTTTATATGAAAAAGACTGAACAAATATTACACTCATTCGACAGCCAGATATATATATATATACATACACACACACACACTCCAAACACCCAACTTGTAATTAGAAATAAATTCCACCGCTAGAGCGAAAACAGCAACAGACAAAGAACACCGCAAAGATGTCATCCCGTTCCAAAGAGAGAGTTGTTACCGCAATTCGTAAAATCTTCCACAAGTCCAGCAACAACAACAACAATAATAATAACAACAACAACAATAATAATAATAATAATAACAACAACAACAGCCATAACAACAACAGCAACGACAAGAGCTGCGATAAAACCGATGGACCCGAGCACAGCAACAGCAGCAAGAATGTCAATAACAACAACAACAACAACATTGATGTCGCCACCGCAGCCAACGGTGGCGCTGCAGCTGGAGCATCTGGCGAGGCTGCATCAGCAGCTGCTGCACTAGGAGCCGCCGCAGCTGCTCAGCTGAGTCCCAAGAATGCCATCGTGCGCGTTGCCGACGAGCAGCCCGTTTGCGAATCGCCGGGCAAACGTCGTCGCCAGGATCACAAGTAATTGATGGCATTAGCTATATACGTCAATATATGTCCATATAAATATGTGTATTTTAAACTCTACTCCTTTTACAGAGTGGCTCCCACTGCAGGACGCTCGATCTTGATGCTGCCTGATGCCTCCATACGCTCGCGCCGCCTGATGAAGGAGTATCGCGAAATGGAACGCCTGCAGGTCAAAAAGGATGCAGTCTTTACGGTAATGACCAAAAAAGTGCTAACTTTGAAAAAATTTACATGTTTCATATTCCTTTTCGTTAAATTAATTATCAGCATGTCAATAATTATTCATTTATTATAATACATAATATATAAATGTATTATTGTATATACTTTATGTTACCTGTCACGCTTCCTTCCGTCTGTTACATTCATCCCACCAAAATATTTATACCCTGATTTTCCATTTTCCATGGTATTTCACGGTATAAAAATAAATGCAGTCCACTAAAGCACAATTCTGATGTCCATTTATCAACTCTTTCAGGTGGAACTAGTCAATGACAGCCTATTTGAGTGGCACGTTCGTCTGCATGTCATCGATCCGGACTCGCCGTTGGCCAGCGACATGGTTGAAATGAATGTGCCGGCGATTCTGTTGCATTTGAGCTTTCCCGACAATTTTCCGTTCGCGCCGCCCTTCATGCGCGTCGTGGAGCCGCGCATCGAGAAGGGTTACGTGATGGAGGGTGGCGCCATTTGCATGGAGCTGCTCACACCGAGGGGCTGGGCCAGCGCATATACCGTGGAGGCGGTCATCATGCAGTTTGCAGCCAGCGTAGTCAAGGGTCAGGGTCGCATCGCGCGCAAACCGAAAAGTACAAAGGAGTTCAGTCGGTGCGTCGATTGAATTGTTGCCATTTAATAATGTGATTCAATTTGTTTCGTATTATTATATATATGTTTTTCTTGTCTGTATTTTCAATTGTTGCAGGCGCCAGGCAGAGGAGTCATTTCGCTCACTGGTCAAAACACACGAGAAGTATGGCTGGGTAACGCCCGCTTTGGCCGATGGCTAAAGGAACAGTCCCAACTGAAGAACCCCGCCGCTCGCGACAGCAGCTCATGCGTTTGCCAACTTAGTCAACTAAAAGAATGCAACTCGATTTCCATTTACATATACACCGCTCATTACAATACTGCAAGCTAGTTGTAGGATGCTTATATATGAATATTGATTTGAACTCTCATTTGATTTCCTCAAGTAAGATGTAAGCGATTTCAATTGTTGCAAATGAATACCATCCATGGAGACAAAAGATGAATCCACGAAGCGTAACAGGCGTCAACTAACAAAGAAATTAACTTAAAATGTAATTTAGATGTAGAACACCTATGGAAGTTGCGCAAAAGCAAACACAAAACAAAATAATGAGAAACAAAAATACAACAAAAATGATGAAAGAAAGAAAAGTATTATAAATTCATTAAGTTGGAAGAAACTATATAAGTTCCGCATTACTAATACATACTATATATAAATATTATTTAAAGCATATACTAGTTTATGCAAACTTTATGAAGCATCTCTGAATGTGTTATTATAATTAGTTGTGATTTTTATTAAGTTTAAAACCAAATTACTGATCTAGCTTATATAAACATATAAGAGCGACCATTTTCTTAAGTTTTGCATATAGTAAAAATATATATATATTACATGTCTATCTGTTTTCTTAATTGCGTTTTCAATTAAATGCGTATAATCATTTAATGCATATTGCGCTGCGTTGCGGCGCATTTTAAATATACGCGCTCACCCAGTGTTGCACAACGTCACAACCCAGCGTACTGCTGGTCAAGCATAGGCATGCGACTCGTCAGTCAGATTCGATCACAATGACGCCACGCATTTTACTGTCAAACGTTTGTCAGCTAAATTTATGACTTGTCCCTTAAAAGAGTATATTTTTAAATATATTTGTATGTTAATTGAATTAAATTATTGACAAGTTTGGCCAGGGAACATTAATTTTCTCAATGCTATCGTTGACTTTACTCGAATGTCTGAACGTGCCTGGTGACCGCGCTTGTATCGTTATTCAACACTGAGAAAAAACTAAAACTGGCTGCAGAAAATTGTAATCACAGGACATAACTTTGTAAGTAAATTAAAGCATTTAGATAACTTATTAAGCCACCAAATACATAACAAAAGATGCCGCAAACTGTTGCCCATCTAATTTGTCCAACATTTGCATGCGTTGAGTCTAAATAATTGGTGTAAAAAGCCAGCAAAAACCTCGCTACTCGCAACGCACGCAGTTGCTGCGAAAAAAGATTGTCAAGCTGCGCGACGGTGACGCTGACGACGACGACGGCGCCGACGTCGACATCGCCATCGACAGCATTGTCGAGCTGCTCTAGCGTCTATATGAGAATTTTAGGCAAATCCTAACTTAGATCTGCTAGCAAACTACGCCACATGCACCACATGAGCTGCCCAAGTGAACCGAACGACCTAAAACTGAACCAGCGCCAGCTGAGTGCGAGTGAGCGAGCAAGAACAAAATATGTGTGTAGTTGTTATTGTTGTTGTTTTTCTGTGTGATGTATAGTAACTAAATAGGTGTATGTGTGCGAATGTGTGTTGACAAGCAATTTTGTAGCAACTGAAACCCACGAAACATAAAAATACCCACAGCCTAAGCGTCAGCAGCCCGCAGCACATAGCAAAAAATAGTAAATACATAGTTTTTGTTTGTTATTTATAGACTCGTTTCAATGGATACGAACGCTAGCAGCAATAGCAGCAGCAGCAACAGCARCGATGAGCAGCCCAGCAAGACGCTAGCCGAGACAGAGACAAATGCAAGTTCGGTACCCATGGATACCCTGGAGGCCCCGGCCAGTGCCACCACCAGCTCCAGCTCGAAGACTTTGAAACGCTGCGTCAGCGTGCCTATCATACGCACATTGCCGGGCAAGCCGACGCCCATGACGACACGCGCCGCCGCAGCAGCTGCCGCGGCTGCCAAAGAGCAGACACCAAAGAAGAAGGATCAGCAGTCACACACGCAGCCACAGCAGCGCTCCGACAGCAGCATTTGCTCCACTTTCAGCCTGAGCACTGGCGCAGGCATCGATTGCTTTGGCAAGAGCATACACATACGTTCACAGCCCAGCTCCCGGGAAGTGTCGCCGGCGCCAGTGTTCAATCCATTCACACCACGTGCGCGTCGCTACTCGGCCAGCTACAGTCCGGCGCTGAACGGTGCCGGGGGGAGCTTGGGCACACCGCTCTGTCTTACGCCTCGCGTTTCACAGCTGCGACAGGAGGAATGCGCCGATCTAAATAGCCGCGAAGTGAACCATGAGCGGGAGGTGCATCGCGAAATTCAAATCTCACAGAGCTGGGAGGATCTCACACTGGTGACAGAGAACTGGTCCTGCAAATCGGATGAGCTCTCCAATCCGCTGCAGACGATGCTGCCCGCCGGCAGCAGCAACAGCACCAGCTGCTCCAGTCCCAGTCCCACCAGCAATCGAGCCGGCATGCGACTGCCCTACTCACCCTCGCCGACACGCCGCACCTTCGCCACACGGCGCTCCATGTCGCCCATTCCGATGCGACCATCGTCTCTGGCGCCCGTCAAACGTAAATTCGAGTTGGACGACAACAACCCCAGCGTCAGCAACTGGAGCGTTTACTCCCCGCCGCCGCCAAAGAAGATCTTCACCGATAGGTAAGTTAAGATCAGACTTGATTTTTGATATAATTATTAAACTCATCTCTCAATTGCAGCCGCGGCTCATCACCTGTGTGCCAATCGCCCTCGTCTGTGTGCCCCAGTCCCGACTCGGGCACCTATGACGGACGCATTACGCCCAAGCTGTTCATATCGAAGCTATGCACAAACAACAATGGCGCCGGCAACAACAACAACAGCAGCAGYAGCGGCTGCCCTTCGCCCGTGTCCGCCTCGCCCAGTAACGTTCTGCCTGTGAATGGACTGGATGGCATCTGCCTGGCGGGCGGCAGTCAGAGCCAGAGCATCGACGAGGGCATCTCCATACCGGAAAGTGACACGAACACCTGTCGCAGTCGCACCTCATCCATCTTGTCTACGGCCTCGTCGAGCAGTGCGCTCGGCGGTCCCCAGCTGCTGGTCAACGACATGGTGGACGATGCCACGCTAATGGATGATGCCAAGAGCGAGACGTCATCGATTGGTGGCTGCTCGACCATCAGCATTGAGTCATCCTCGTGCGACAGTGGGGCCAAAACGGGGGCCACGTTTCTGAATCGCCTTGTTGTCGACGATGGCTGCTCGCCGCTTGCCCAAAAGAGTTTCTACATCAACAAGCAGGGCTTCTCCGGGGCCAAGAAGTTCATAGTTAACCACGAGAAGCTGGGCACGTCTCTGTCCCTGGACAGCAGCAAAGCCACCAAAATGGATGTACAGCAAAAGCTTTAAGCGATCCATCACATCGCACTGTACCATAGATAACCTGCAGCCGTTTATACCCTGTCTAATTTGTATATGCCGCTGCCAGCACTTAGTTATAGACGTAGTTCTTATGATGGCACCAATCGACCGTTATTCTAACCCAGCACCCACCCAATGTCCCGAGCTTTTCTCAGTTCGCGTCTTAGCCTTAAGTAATGTACATAATTAAGTTGTTTTATGCCAGATCTTTCGTATATATTTGCATATCAAATCATCGCCCATATCCTCTATATATCCATATACTGTTAGCAACATTTTTGTTTTTTTTTTTTTTAATATGTTAATGGCACACTCCGATTCACCTATTCCATATTTTCCCCCATCACCCATCCCATGTGTCACATTCATTGCCAATGCCGTTTCGATACATAATACACAAATACTTATGACACAGTTTTTTTTAAATATATATACATACATATATAGACCCACATAGCTATATTTAGCCCTATTTACGGTACACTTAGTTATTAGCCCGCTTAGATGGTAGTACCAATCCAATTTTGCCAAATATGTTTCTTATATATGTAAATGTGCGTATGAATTGCCGCGTTTCAAATCCGATCGATTTATAGCGGATAAACGATTATATCGGAAATTATATACAAATTTGTCTTACGATTTAGCCGATCTTCGTATGCGAATTTTAAATATTTAGCTTCAAAATGTTATTTTAAATGAAAACAAAAACATAATAAACAATATTTTTTTCAATAGAACGAAAAAAAAAAAAATTCTATTATATCTGCTTGTGAGGATACAAAATGGGAGGAGTATGGGGTAATAGAATTTGAACAATTTACTGTAATTTAATCTAATATAAAATTAAAATTTTAAAAAGTTTTTCAGATAGCAGCCATTAACTTTTGGCCATGTATTTGTTAAAGATGAATTTAATTTTATTTCGATAAGATTTAAATCTATTAAATCTATTATTTTATAGCCTTCATAGCCTAGTAAAATTAAAAAAAAAAAAATTTAAATTGCTCAACCAATCCGATGATCTTCGGTTTATATTTATTTTTAATTGCTCGATCATATAGGTAATTTTAGTTGTGTATTTATTTTTAATAATAAGCCAAGCCATTATGGGATAATATTTATTTTTAGTATTCTGATACTCTGATATAATTATCGCGGCGTGTGGGTATGTGTGTGTGAGTGTGTTTACATTTGCCGATGCAAATGTACATATGTACATATGTATGTGTGTGCGTCCGTCTGGCTCAGTAAAAGTTCGAACAAACTGGCCGAGCATCGCTCTGCACTCAGCAACTCTGGCAGGCACTCAACGAGTCTACTATTTGCGAGCTGCCTAGGCTGGGGGCGAATGGGCGTACGCTGATTTAAAACAAGTTTCACACTCGATTTGTACTTTCAGTCACGATCCGCATCGCGCTCGGCAGTCCGGCAGCCAGGCAGCCAGGCAGTCAGGCGAGAGGAGGTGGAAGCGAAAGAATGGCAGTCGATATTGGTGTGACGTGCGATCGGCTTAGCAGAACCAACCACCCACGCTAAATACATACAAATGAGAGCGATAGGCATGCTACGTACATACGTACATACATACAGACATGCCTTTGAGTAGGTTCGTGTATGTTTAAAAGGGCACCTCTTTTGTTCCGTTGCACAACACTGCCCGAAGGCTGACACAGCCACGAGAAACATTCATACATACATACATCTGTATGTATACATATACGTATATGTGTATGCGTAGTTTTTTTCTGACAACGTCGACAGCGATGCCGACGTCAACGCTGACGCCAGCGACCTAACAATAAAATGAACATACAACAATAAAAAACAAAAGCAAGACATCGCAAATAATTAAACTCTGTGGTTTTTGTTGTTGCTCCAAAAAGGAAAAAGAGCAGCAAGAAATGGCTGCGCACGGAGCTCGCGCTGCTCGGCAGCCACTTCTGCTGTGGTGGCTGCTGTTCTTGTTGTTGTCGTCGTCGTTGAGTTGCTTGTATTGTTGTTGTTGTTGCCACGATTCGCTTCGCTTCGGTCGTGCTTTAATGGAGCTCGCCTCCTTCTCTCTCCCCAACATTGTCGGCGTCTGCTAGACTGCTCGCCGTTTGCTGCTCGAAGTAATCTTGAAAATCGTGAGTTGAGTTTCGCGCGACGCTCGCTGGTTTCTTTTTGCTCTCACTGTACGCGATCGTTGSTTTTGTTGGTGTTGTTGTTGTTATTATTGTTGCGTTTCTTTGGGGCCTTGCTTTTGGTTCGCCCTGCGCATTTTCTTTGTTTTTCGTTTTCGTTTTGGTTTTGGTTTTGGAGCTGTGTGCGCCTGAAGAAAAATCAAGTTAACAGCCAACGCACGCAACGGCACCGCGTGTGGGTGGGGACAGGGGAAAAGCCAAAGAGGAGCAGCTTGCCGGGTCGCCAAAGCTATTTGGTATTTATTGTTGTTGYTGTTGTTTTCAATATGCGCGTGCATTAAAAATAAAAAGCCTGCAGCGCGCGTCGACGCCGACGTCGATGTCGTCTTGCCTGTTGCGCTCGTTGTTTTGTTTCTCGCGCTGCTTTTGCTTATTGTTGTTGTTGCTTCGCTTCGTTGATTCAGAGTGAGCAGCGAGCAAGGCAGAGGCGAGGCAGCGGGCCGACTGAAACTCGACTTTTGGCGTTTGTCGAGGTTGCTGAGCCCGGGCGAGCGAACTGCGAATCCAGTTTCTTCTTCACTCGGCCTCGGCTAACAACGCGAAACAGCCACGGCAAAAAAAAGCAGCGCCAGTCACAAATTACTTTTCCCCCTTTTGAATTTTTTGTTTGGTTCGTTTTTTTTTCGCAAATTGTTTACGGATTGTTAATGTATTGCGGCAAGGTATGTTATTGTTATAGACGATCGCGCAAGGATGTGAATGGCAATTAGCGTAATAAGCATAGCATATGCACAGGCGCAAAAGCTCTCTCTCTCTATCTCTCTCTCACTCTCTCTCTTAATCTTGTCCTCTGTCTTTTGTTAAGTCTAATCTATATGAATATTTTTTATGCTGCGTGTATTTTCATTTCCTTTCATTGTCTATTGCAGGGCATGGAGCTTGCGTCCGCTGGCTGCGCTGACTGCTGCAGCGACTGCGTCAGCGCAACGCCCACTTGCTGCGCAGCTACCGGCTGTTGCGATGCTGCTTGCTGCGACACCGATTGCCAGCTGCTGCCACCAGATCCTGTGAGCTACGAATACCACGAGCCGGAAGAGAACTTTGTGTCCATCGACGATGCCAAGATTAAGAGTCTGCTCTTTCAAATCGGCCAACAGCAACAAGAGCTGCGACGCCAGCAGCTAGAGCAAAAGCAGCAGACGGCGCAGCAGCCGCAGCCGCGGCCGCAGCAGCAGCAACAAATTATCGAGCTGCTAGACGATGACGAGGGGAGTGTGGGGCCGCCGCCACTGATGTTGATTAGCACAGCCCGTAGCTTGAAGCCTGAGAAACGCCCGATGACGGATAAGCAACGGCTGGTAAAGAAACTGAAGCAACGCCATCATCGCATCGTGGCCAGGATTGAGCTGAGCGACAGCGAAAGCGAAAATGGAGATGCGGAGCAGACGGCTAAGGAGACAAATGCTGAAGATTTGCCTGTCGCGAATGTCAGCTGTGAGCTGGAGGAGCCAGCACTCCAGGTCATTGAACTGCCATCGGATGACGAAGAGAAACAACCCATGAAGTCAGCTACCCGCAAGCGCTCGCCGAGACCGTACATAAAGCGACGCGGTCGCCACTTCTACCAGTGCCAGGCGTGCGGCAAGAAGGTGCAGTCCAATTATAATCTGCGCCGTCACATGATGATACACACAGGTGAGAGCAGCAATTGTGCAACAGGTGTGGCCTGAAACGAGAAAATCTAGCAAAACTGAGAGCTAACATATAATGTGGGTAATATAGAAAGCCTTTAGGATTTGATTGAATCTCCTCAAGAAGCACATTGAATCTCAGATCCGATTCGCTTAGTTGAAAACTCCAAGGATTTTATATTTAATTCTAGCCTTTTTTTTAAATTTTTCTATTGCCGTCCTTGGTGTATAAAATGAAATAATAATTGGTTGAATAATATATAGATATATTTAAAAATTGAAGAGTTTATTAGGTATATTTTTCTCTACTAAAATTTGGGGGCTATTTAAGAAGAAACTTGAGAATTTATCTAGTATCTCCTTTTTTAAGATTTTAGTAATGTTTACAACATCGAAAAATTAAAATAATTTATTATTTTACATATTACATAATTATTCGAGTATCTATCATAAAATTAAATGAATCTTATGAATTTCCACCAATCAGGTGAGCGACCCTTTCCATGTGATCTATGCGAACGTCGCTTTCGGGAGTTTAGCGATTTGAAGAAGCATCGCCGACGACATATAAATGATCCGCGCTATATATGCATGATCTGTCGCATTCATACGCCCATGGAGCAGGACTCTACGCGCTGTGCGGAGTGCGAGGGTAAGAATTTGTTGTTGGCTCCGCAGGACTGTGATGCTTTGGATGCTGAAAAAGAGCCAATTGATGAGACTGAGCCAGCGTTGGAGGAGCAAGACGAACAGGAGGAGCAAGAGGAGGAACAGGACACGGATCAAGAGTTCCTGCCGGAAGACAATCATGTCGAAAACGAAGTTGTGTCGCTGCCAATTCCAACTCTGCCTCCGACATTGCTTGTCACGCTGGTGCCCGCACCACCACCACTCACGCCAGCCCCACCTGCCCCGCCCGCAATCACTGTCACTGCCCTAACGCGTCCGCCCCTGCCACGCAGCTGCAGCAGCGCCAACTCCTCATCCTCGCTGAGCAACGATGTGGCACCAAAGCGTTTGCAGAGAGTGACGCGCAATCGACGCACTTACCCCTGCCCGCTGTGCCACCGACCATTTGGCACACGCCACAACCTGAAGCGCCACTACATGATCCACACCGGCGAGAAGCCGTTCAGCTGCAGCAAGTGCCGCAAGCCCTTCCGCGAGTGCTCCACTCTCAAGAAGCATATGGTGACCCATATGCGCGATCGCTGGTACAAATGCCTTCGATGTCCCGCCAAGTATCAGGACTATCTGCACTACATGGAGCACAAGGCAACGCATGGGCTGGACGCGCAGTCGGAGACGGGCTTACGTGGTCGTAGCGGACAGAGATCACCGGATAGCGGCGATGGCGATAGCTCTTTGGATGATTGGCTGGAGTGCTGCGAGTGTCAAGTGCGCTTCACCCAGCTGGATGCCTATACGGAGCATATGAAGCAACACGACCTGGAGCTGTATGGCTTGAGTGTCGATGATCTGGATGAAGAGGACCAGGATGTCGATGTGGCCTAATATAAATCAATGATCTATATACAGATATACACATTCCATTTGTTAAATCTTTTGCATTCCAACAAATACTGCACTGAGAAGGCGAGGCACCAGCCGCTGGAATATACTATTTATTCACTTCCTGAATTTGTTATATTAGATGTAAGATTATTCTATTAAATTATAATTTCCATTATAAAAGAGATTCTGAAAACATTTAATGTTTTATGCTTAGATTGAACAATTTCAAATTCCAATTCAAGTAGTTTCCATCAATAGATCAATAAATTTGGATTTCTGCAAATCTTCAATTTCATAATTTATTGGCCTGAACTTTTCATTGGCAATATAATTTAAACCATAAATTTGCAGCGCTAATAATAATTCATCTATTTATTTGTATCAAAAAACAAAACTCAATATATATATATTAT